TTTGGCTTGAAATACCAAACAGATCGTGCATTATAGCATCCCATAAACCCCTCTGTTTCAGCCCTGTTTCAAAAGTGCTGATTCTCTGTCCTTTAGTTCAGATGAAAATAAGGAGCCACTCCCCTCTGAGAGATATTTGGTTAAATATAACACAATGGTGCACTAGGAGGAGATTCAGGTGATAAGGTGGGCGGGTGTTACCTTGGTTGGTTATTGGCTAATGGTTACACAAGCCGAAACATCGTTATGACATCATAACGTGCATGGCCAAAATCTGATCAGCTCGTTTTCAGACAGGTTTTTATATAAATGGATCAGGCCAAAAAGTGAGCAAATATTTTTTTCCTGAAACTTTCAGAATATCTTTACACATGTTTATGTAAAAGACATGAAAAAGTTAATTTTGCATTATAGTTGACCTTTAAATACAGTTCTGGAAGTTCTTCTTAGTATACAAAATGAATGAAACCATTTGCCATCCTCAAAGCCATATTTTAAATGTATATCTGCATCATGTATTTTTTGTTAATTTAGCCACACTCTGTTTGGCAATTTCAAGTAGTCCGAGCATTTCAATTAGGTGTTTAGTTAGCGTTTTTTATTTAATAATTGGACATTTTACAAGAGCATTAACTTAGCTTACAATTAACAAAAACAAAACCGTGCTCATGCTGTACATTTTTTAGCAAGCGAAGCTGATAAAAAGGAGACTGAGCATGGTCAGCTTTCAGTTCTTACAATTAAGAAAGTTATTTAAATGTGGAATTAAAAAATATATATATGATGAAGGGGACATCACAATGAACAGTCATTATGCTCACCTGCTGGCTCTCAAAGGTCCACGTGCTGTCGGGTAAAGAGGCATCCAGAACACTGATCACCTCCGTAAAGTCAGTGGTGCTGCTGGGCTTAATCAAAGTGAAATCACTGTACTCTGACATTGGAGACATGCAGGACCTGAAGGACTGACTCTGAGACATCATGTCTCCTCCCAGGACCTCCACGTACTTTATAGGTCCATCAGTGTTGAGCTGAATCTGCATGTTTCTGTTGGGGTTCTTGTAATTATCACAGTCGCTTCGTCTCATGCAGCAACTACCGCTGCTGCTGCTGTTCCTCATGCATTTAACCGCTAAGATGAGAAAAGTCACCAGAGACAGCACGGACACCGAGGCCAGAGAGAGAATCAAATACAGGGTGATTCTCCCAGTTTTCCTGCTGGGCTCGGCCGTTTTCTGTCGGAGGTCTAAGATGGGCTCATGGAGGCCGTCCTCCAGCAGGATGGACACCGTGACGGTGGCGGACTGCATCGGTTCCCCGTCGTCCTTGATCTCTATAAGCAGTCTCTGAGAGGAGTCGTCCTGCTCGGACGCAGCGCGTTTAGTCCTCACCTCCCCTGTGTACAGGTTGACAGTGAACAGAGAGGCGTCTGTGGCCTCCGCCAGCTTGTAGGAGATCCAGGCGTTATGGCCCGAGTCAGCGTCCACGGCCGTCACCTTAGTAACCAGGTGACCCGCTTTAGCGGAGCGGGACATCCTCTGGTGAGAGAGGGAGCCCAGGACAGCGGAGGAGGGGTAAATAACAGCGGGGGCATTGTCGTTCTGGTCCAGGATAAAAACATGGACAGTGGTGTTGCTGCTGAGAGACGGAGAGCCCTGATCCTTTGCCTGAACCTGGATCTGAAACACCTTCAGTTTCTCATAGTCAAACGAGTGCATGCTGTAGATGCTGCCGTTATCTGAGTTAATGTAAACATAAGACGAGACAGAAACGTCCTGCACTTTAGAGTCCAAGATGGAGTAGGAGATTTTAGCGTTTTCACCAAAATCCAGGTCAGACGCTGATACTGAGTACAGTATAGAGCCTGGCACCCCATTCTCTTTTAAATACACATTATAGGAGGGCTGAGTGAATAAAGGGTGGTTATCATTCACATCAGTGATGCTGACAGGTATAATTCTCTTACTGGATAGAGGAGGAGAGCCTGAATCAGTGGCTGTTATTTCAATCTTATATTCAGAGACATTTTCTCGATCTAAAACACCACTCGTAACCAAGGCGTAATTTTGAGAAAACGATGGTTTTAGAGCAAATGGAGATTTTTTTGGGAGCTTTAATGTTACTTTACCATTTACACCAGAGTCAATGTCTCTGGCATTGATCAACGCTACTACGGTGCCATTAGGCGAGTCTTCGCGCACTGGCTTTGGAGGAGAAGTGAGTATTATTTCAGGGGCATTATCGTTAACATCTAACACTTCAACATTCACAGTACAGTGCCCCTCCATTCTCGGACTGCCTTTATCTTTCGCGCTTATATCTAATTCATAATTTGTAATTGTTTCGAAATCCAGTTTTCCTTTGAGAAATATTGTTCCAGAATTGTGATCAATAGTGAAGACAGAGAGAACAGTATCCGGTGTGTGTGCACCAAATGCATATTCTATTTCTCCGTTTTGACCATCATCCATGTCTGTCGCTTTTGTTTGTACTATTAATGCACCGTCTTCCGCCTTTTCACTGATAGATACCTTATACAACGTTTTCTCAAACGTTGGGACGTTGTCGTTTATGTCAAGGACTCTTATATTTAGCTGAGCAGTCCCTGATCGTACTGGGTTGCCTCCATCTAGAGCTGTCAACAAAAGCTTATGGACAGCCTTTTTCTCTCGATCTAAATGTTTTGCTAAAATCAATTCAGGGACTTTCCTTCCACCGGCAACGTCTTTAACTCTAATACTAAAACATTCATCTTTACTGAGCGTGTATGACTTTAAAGAATTTCCCCCAACATCAGGGTCTATGGCACTTTCTAGTGGAAAACGAACCCCCAAACCGGTAATTTCCGCTACCTCTAATGTGATATCATTTGATGGAAATCTAGGTGCATTATCATTAATGTCTTGTATTTCTACCTCAACACGAAAAAGTTGTAATGGGTCCTCAATAACAACCTGAAGAGGCAAAACGCAGCTAGCACTTTGTCCACAAAGAGTCTCTCTGTCTATTCTGTCATTCACCAGCAGCTCTCCCTTCCCTGCATCCACACTGAAATACTGCTCTCCAGCCTCAGAGGCAACACGCAGTTTACGGTCAAAAATCTCTGAGAGTCCGAGACCCAAATCTTTGGCTAGATTTCCTACCACAGAGCCTTGTTTTAGTTCCTCCGGGATGCTGTACCTAGTCTGTCCGTTTATTGTAGTCCACAAGAGAAAGAAATGATGCCACCAAAGCGCCTGCCATCTCCAGTCTCGGTATCCTATTGTCTTTGTCATCCTTTGTCCGCTATAACATATACAATCCAAACGACATATTCGATAGAACGATGGTGAAATTCATCATCGCAGGCATTACTCCAGGGATGTCCCAAAATGACTGAGCATGGCTATACGATGAGTTATACGATTTCTACATTATAAAAACGAGCCCATTGCCGCCTCTCCTCGATCACTTTGCTGTCTCAATGTTACAGCTCGGAAGCTGCATGGGAGCAGGGTCTAGATTGCTTTGTACAGTTCTGACTCCTATTGGTGCAAAGCATCCACATCTACTATCCAATGAGAGGGAAACAGATCGACCTTCTTAAAGTGGCAGCGTCGATTCTCATTGTACCCTTAGCTTTTAGTTGACCAACACTTTTTTTTTACACTTACGGGTAGCCAAATATTCAATGGTATGCTACTTTAAAATAATATATCAACTAATATTTAATATAATATATAATTTTAATTAAATGCATATTATTTTGAGAAGGAAAGGAACACATAATAAAGAAAGAATAAGAGAAAGAAAGAAGAGGAAAAGAGTCTGGATATCAGCTTAAATTGTGAAAAATCAAAATGTTATACAGTGATATCCTATTTTAACCAATCACTACAAAACAACTTGAGGGGAATAAAATACTGTTTTTCCCCTTAAAAATGATAAGCTAAAATTAAAAATATCCCTTAAATCCAACAGCCGCTGTACATCTTTGTGCTAAACTATTTGGAATTGGAATGTGTGATGAGATAGATAGATATATTGATAGAGGGATAGAGGGATACATGGATAGATAGATAGACTCAATCTGAATTATTTTTTGCTTACCTGCTGGCTCTCAAAGGTCCAGGTGCTGTCGGGTAAAGACGCATCCAGAACACTGATCACCTCCGTAAAGTCAGTGGTGCTGCTGGGCTTAATCAAAGTGAAATCACTGTACTCTGACATTGGAGACATGCAGGACCTGAAGGACTGACTCTGAGACATCATGTCTCCTCCCAGGACCTCCACATAC